AAGGACCAAGGTATACGAAGCGCGTGGCTTTCCAGGAGGGTACCTCCCATCCGGCCGTGCGGCGCCGCGAACTTGGAACTTGGAACCCCGTCGTGCATCGCCAGCATGGCACTCATTGCGTGATTTCGTAGTGTGCGTGCGTCACGGTGACACGACTGGGCCGTGCCGTGCCGCGCCAAGCTGCTCTCCATCTAAATCCTGGCCGCACGATAATGCGTCTCGGATTAGGGTTTGGGTCGGGTGGCTGCGGGCGACCTGTCTGTCCGTCTGTCTGTCCGTTCGCCCCATTTCGGGATGGCATTGTTTGCATCCCTTGCATGCGGACTGGCGTGGCCTGGCGTGGCCCGCGCACCACCAACACGACCAACACGACGGCGCTGCGATCGCTCTGTGTTTGCACGCGTGTTGTGCTGTGCCGTGCGGCCCGGCCTCGCCTCCCGCCTCCCGCACCCCGCACCCCGGTCACCTATCGCTATAGCCGCGCTGCCAGCCACTTGGCAATACGAGCACGACGCCCGTCTCTCTCGCTCCCGTGAGCCGCGGCGGAGTGCGAGAGAGACGGGGGATGAATGTCAACGTGATGGTGGGAAGCGGATAGACCAGCGGTTCCCAACTTTTTTTCGGTTCGGGACCCCAAATTTGTAGCCAAAAATTTCCGCGACCCTCAGGAAAAATTTCACGACCCCACGCGACTCGTACTTTAGCAGTATTGCCGCAAAGTTGATCAAAACGGTCAGAAATGTCTTTGAAAAATCGTGTTTTGGGCCGACTTTAAGCAGCCACTGCGTCTGATCCGAGGCGGTATCTTGTCCTCCCTCAACTGGCAATTGGTCTTTGGACCTTCCTTAAGCATGCCTTTGTTACGGAGTGCGATTATCTGCCTTAGTTTGGGAGCAGTATCGCCGCAAAGTTGATCAAAACGAGTGGTTATGCTCTCGGCCTGGAGAAATGCCTTTTCCGCCTGGAGCAATGCTCTAGGCCGGACAAACACCTCGACCCCAGGCGCCAAGCCGCGACCCCAAGGGTGAGAACCGCCGGTCTGGCTCCAGCCGGCCTGCCTGCCCATGACGTGCACTGCCGGCGAACCGCGAGTCGCGCAGCTCCAGACCACCGAGACCCTCGTAAAGTTGGCAGCATCTGGCTGGCGGCGCGTCGCGGTGCCGTCGATGTCGACGTCCTCATGCCCGCCCCGCCATCGCCGTGCCGCGCCGTGCTGCGCCTTGCCGCGCCGTGGAAGTTCGCCGCGGTGCCACTCGCTCCGGTTTCCCCCGCCTCCGACCACGCCGTCGTCGCCGTCGTCGCCGTGCGTGCGGTCTTCACTCAACCCGAGACGCCGGCGCGGCCACGGCGCCGCCAGGGGGTGGATGGGGTGGAGGGCGTGGCGGCCGTGCGAAACCGCACCGCCAAACCCCCAGGGAGGGAGGGAGGGTTTAACACCTGGGGAGTGTGGACACCCTACACGGTTTCCGGAAATTTGTCACACCTCTTCGGCCGACTTCGTGGCACAGACCTCGTCAAGACGTGCGAAAGGAAGGTCCAAAGACCACCGCCCCGCGGAGGAAGTTCGATTAAACCACCCCTTCGATCAACGTCCCAATTTATGTTAGGACCGACAGTGCTCCCTGTAACAGCTTTACACCCAGAAAAAAGGTGTCTTGAATCAAGTCGGGCTGGCCTTGAAACAAGGCTAAATGGGCCTTGATTGCTTCAAGGCCAGAAAAGACTTGTATTAAGTCAGATATTGCCTTGTTTCGTCTTGTCGTGGGTCAAGTCATTTCGGACTTAAAACAAGTCCACGAGAAGCCTGAAACAAGTCATTTTTTGTTGTTTCAGGCACGATGGAGCCTTGATAGCGACACAGTGTTCAAGGTTTTTTAGACTTGAAATTTCTCACATCTGTTCTTAGTCTATCATGGCCTTGTTCCGTTAGGGCTTGTTTCAAGAAATTTGACTTGAAGCAGCCAAGGCTATGGTTGACTTGAATATAGAGCCTGCGGTGAAATACGCGTCTGGGATTATTTCCGGTCGTTAAGCCCTTAAATACCATCACCCGCTAGATCTTGGCCACACAGTAATTGAAATGGCAGACTCTGACGATTCCTTTCAGAAAACGAAAGGAAATATGGCTGAATTAGATGGTCACCACAGAAACGACTTTGGCGCCTTGTCACCGCCCGACGTGGTTCCGCCAGCTGCCGCGAGAGCGCGCTGCGCGCGTTGTGCTGCCGTCCGCTCGCGGGGCCAGCCCCGGTCGCCACTTAGGGTAGTTGGGAAGTAGGGCCGCGCAAGGACGGGGTGTGACAGGTCCCCCTCGCATCGGTTCTGTCGTGACATGATGAACATGTTTCTGGGAATCAGCAGCAAGAATTTCGGTTCAAATCTAGCGCGGACTTGTTTTCAACCAGTCTTGAAACAAGTAGGAGTGACTTGAATCAAGCCTAAATTTCAAGTCAAAAAAATCAAGTCTTTTACTAAACTTGAGTTAAGAAACCATTTTTCTGGGTGTAAACCCCGAGAGTTTGGACAGCTTAACAGTGTGCCAACCACAGACTATGAAGGCTAAACCACCCAGGACGTGGACGCGGAGTTGTTGTTTGGGGGTGAGGTGGGCGCCGGGCGCGCTGGTGACCAGGATCTGCAGCAGCCAACTGTGCAGAGTTGTTTGTTTGACACCGTCTCTGTAGAGTGTATGTACACTGTAGCGCTTCGCGGCTCCGTCGTCGAGGAGTCCGCGGACCGCGGGACGTTCCAGGGTTCCACTACACTGTTGTGTTCATTTATTTTTAACGCTTTTCCTAAGTTTGTGACTGCGTCGCGAGCCCTTTCACTCCGCCTCGCCCACGACGCCGCCGCCCCGCCCCGCCCTGCCCCGCCCCGCCCCGCCGTCCCCCGCACGGCCAACTTGGCCCGTCTCTTTCTTTTCCCAACAGGCAAGGACAAACAATTGACGGCGAAGTACATCGTTTGTACGACCTCTTTTTGTACGACCTGCCCAATTCTGTCCCGACCTCGGCGGACGAAAATTTTTTGTACGACCTCGTTTTGTCCGACCTCATTTTTTGTCCGACCTCCGTTTTGTCCGACCTGTGTACACCGAGGCCGTGTCCACACACCCGAGTGCACCGTGTACACCCGTGTGCACCGACAACGTGTAAACGCGTGTGCACCGGCGCCGTGTACATCCGTGCGCACAGCAACAGTCTAAGGTCCTGCCGGGCCGGGGGAGGCGATTGCTATGCCAGGCCTAGGCTTTTCAAGCAGACTGCTGCCACGCGGCGGGTTGCCTACCTTACGGGCGCACAGCAAGGGTAGGCCTAGGCCAGGCATAGCAATCGCCTCCCCCGGCCCGCCAGCACCTAAGACCTTTGCTGTGTGCCCGGAAGGTAGGCAACCCGCCGCGTGGCAGCAGTCTGCTTGCCTAGCCTAGGCCTGGCATAGCAATCGCCTCCCCCGGCCCGCCAGCACCTAAGACCTTTGCTGTGTGCCCGGAAGGTAGGCAACCCGCCGCGTGGCAGCAGTCTGCTTGAAAAGCCTAGGCCTGGCATAGCAATCGCCTCCCCCGGCCCGGCAGGACCTTAGACTGTTGCTGTGCGCACGGATGTACACGGCGCCGGTGCACACGCGTTTACACGGTGTCGGTGCACACGGGTGTACACGGTGCACTCGGGTGTGTGGACACGGCCTCGGTGTACACAGGTCGGACAAAACGGAGGTCGGACAAAAAATGAGGTCGGACAAAACGAGGTCGTACAAAAAATTTTCGTCCGCCGAGGTCGGGATAGAATCGGGCAGGTCGTACAAAAAGAGGTCGTACAAACGATATACACCCCGCCCCGCCACGCCCTGTCACTCACACACGCACACACACGCACGCACACGCTCACGTGCGCACACACACTCCGAAAGGGGGTCCCGTCGGGGGTTCGCCCTAGCCGCCCTGGCCGCGACGTCATATTGGACTCCGATCACGCGCTCGCGATCGAGATGTGAGCCAGATTTCGATTCCGGCAAAGTGCGTCTGTGTGCCGTGCGTCAGTGTGTGTGTGCGTGTGACGGCGGCAGAGTGTGAGTGCGCCTGACACGGTGGTCGAGCACGGGACGCCGTTGTAGGATTATGGAACGGTGGAGGAAGGAGAAGGACGGATCGGCGCAGAAAGGTGTGCGAAGGGTGGCGGACAATACAACACGAAAAGGGGGAGGGGAGGGGGAGGTCCTATTACTGTGCCGCAAACGCGCAGAGAGGCGGCGGGGCGGCGGGGCGGCGAGGCACAGAGACGGAGATTTCATCTCGCGACTGAATGGGGTTCCATCGCGGGTTCCTGAGCGTTCCGAGGGTTCCGAGGGTTCCAGCACAGCGGCGGCCGTCCCCGCGGCCCGACTCGCGACTCGGGCTCGTGAAACTCGCCAGTGACATGTCACCGACGTCGAGGCGCGCTGCCAGGGCTTCCCGGAGAAGGCCCACCCACAGTGTAGGCCCCACACCGCCCCGCGCAAATGCGCCTCAAAAGCACAGCGGCTGCGCGCCGACCCGATTCGGGCTCAGCGTTCGGAAAGAGACAGAGAGATATAAAGAGAGAGAGGCCAGTTCTGCCAGTTTTGTCGCGCCGTCTCTCTCGCGTTCGTGCGTGACGCCCCGCGAGTGCGAGAGAGACAGCGCGACGAAAGCACTCGCCGTCGGGATAACCGGGATAACGAGGTCCAATCGGAGCCACTTGACGGCGACCTGCCCCCCGTTCCGCCCCGTTCCGCCACGCGCGGCGGACCCAAATTATCGCTTCACTGCTACGCGCTGCTACGCCGAATCCCCCCCCCCCAAACTCCTCCCCGCCATCGTCATCGTCGTCATCGTCGTGGAGAGTCCCGGCCGCCGAGCACGGCGACAGCCTCCCTGCTGACAGAATAAACACTCGCGCCACCTGCGAAATCAGAGCGGCGGGGAGCGGCAGCGTAGTGACTGGAGAGACTGGAGAGGGGTGGGGGGTCGGCGTGGCGACGCTCACCTGAGACGCGACGGGTGTCCCTCCCTATCTGCCGCTGCCTTGTCACAGGACAACTCCCGGACGAGTGCTGCGCGTGCTGCGCCACAGCGACGACGACCAACAACAACAACACCGCAGCGCCAACAACAACAATGACAACAACAGACGACAATAACAACAACACTCGTGAGCACTCGTCGCGCGACGCCAGCCACGGCCCTGGGTGCGTGCGTTCACGACACCGCCCCGAGTGGAACTGAGGAGCGCGGCACTGCGCGCGATCGGGGTGGAGCGGCGGAGAGGGGGGGGGGTGAAGGGGGAGGGGAGGTTGTATGAGGGCCTGGTCGGGAGCCTGGGGGCTGGCAGGGCTGGCAGGGCTGGCAGGCAGGCCGTCCCGTCCGCGGCCGTCCGCCCACGCCGCAGAGGGAGAGAGAGAGAGAGAGGGAGAGGGCCCAGGGAGAGCGCCCCGTTGCTAGGCTACAGCTGCTCCTGCGCCTCCCCCCACCCCCCACCGCCAGCACGCGGGCCGCGGGCCGTGGAGCACCCCCCTCGCCATAACCCAGAGAGGGCTGCGTTTGAATGTCGCGCCGTGTAGTGTGTGCGCGCGCGTGTGTGTGTGTGTGTGTGTGTGTGTGTGTGTGTCATAAGTCTTGCTGCTGCCTTCCTCACCTTGCTCCTGGGAGAGACGCGCGCGGCGGGGGCGCGGCGCACTAGTCGCAGGCCAGGCATCGGCCGGTCGGTCCAGCGGTCAGTCCAAGCTGCCCGTCAAAACAAAAATCCTTTTTGTCGTTCTGATTTTAACTTTCTCAGCCTGGCAGGATCGTCCTGACATTTCTTTTCACGCAGAACGCGGTGGCGCGACGACGGCTGGGTCGACGAAAAAGTGTCGAAACTCCGATAGGGCGCTCGCTGAATGAACGGCCGGTAAGGCTTGCTTGAGCCAACAGTGTTGCGAGTTTCCTGCCTCCCGGGCCCCGCTGGTGCTGCTCGCGCTGCTGCCTGCCACCGGCAGCACGGGCAGGGCCATGCGCAGGGCGGAGCAGGGCGAGCAAGGCGAGCAAGGCGAGCAAGGCGAGCAAGGCACAGCAAGGCGGCCCTATATTTCATTAGCTTCCGCCGCCGCGTTCGTATGGCGCGCTACGGCGGGGGGGAAGTTTATGCCCAAAATCTCATTATGTTCTCCTAAACGGGTCACCCCTTCATTTTTCCTTGTTTCATGGCTGCGCTAAAAGCTACAGAGTACACGCTGTATACCCTGGTGTACCCCGCGGCCGACGACGACGGAGCTCTGCGCGAGGGGCTCTGTGCTCGGTGTGCGCGGCTCCGACGTTTTGCGGGGGGGGGGGCTGATCACCGTCACAACAAGTCGGACTCGAAGCCGGACTCGCTCGTTGAAGTCCTTGTTGGCGAACTCGCAGACTCACCTGGGTGAGTCGCCGCGGCAAAGCAGGCGACAAGGACGCTGCGCTGCCGCTCGTTTCGCTCGTTTCTTTCCTTTCACTCGTTTCACTCGTTTCACTCGTTTCGCTCGCGCGGTTTATTACGCCGCCCCGTTTTCGTCTCCCGCCATTCCGTTTTCGCGGCGAAAATACGCAAACGTGGTGCGAATACACAGCGGCCGCGGCGCCACGGCCACGGTTTGCGGGATTAGAAATAATTCGGGGCGTCGCTCGGTGCTGCTTAGCCTTAGCCTTGGTCGCCGCGGCCAAGGCAGGCAGGCCAAGGCACCGCGGTGCAGCAGCGCAGCGCGCGGAGGCCGCCTGCGGGAGGCAGTGTAGGCAACCCACAGCGCTCGGCTGCACGCGCGTTGCCTACCCGGCCGTCCGCGGGCGCTCTCGCGCGACAGCAAGTTTCCCTCGGAACGCGTGCAGCGCGCAGCGAACGGACGGGAAGCGAAAGAGAGACAACAACAAGGAGAGGAAGAAAACAAAAATGAAAAGAAAAAACAATAAAAAGGAGAACACGTCCGTGTCCGTGCTCTGGGCCAGGCTCTGGGCCAGGCTCTGGCTCTGTGCGCCACAACACCTTGCGCGCCTTGCGCCGGACAGACAGCTCTCACCGCCATTCTTCTGGACCCCTTCTCGCCCACTCGCCACTCCGCCGCGCCGCGCCGCGCCACCACGCCCTCGGTCACAGTTAGTTGGATCTCCCCCTGCAGACCTCCAAGCAGCACCCCGCCTCCTGCCCGCCCGCCTGACGGGGGTCGGGGCCTATGACTCCCAATTTCCGGGACGATGTCATCCGTTTTCCTTTTATCTAACCTCCCGCTCCGCCCGCCCCCCTTCCCTTGTATTCCCTCTGAAAGCTCTTACTTTCTTTTTTCCCTCGTCCGGCCCCGGCAGCCGCCAGAGGCCCCATCAGACGACGCGTTAGACAGAGCGACGTGGCGCCAATTTCTTGACAGCTCTCCCGCTCCGGTTGAAAACACGGCCAAAGAAATGAGCGAGCGATGATCCCGAGGCGGTGGCGGCAAAGGGAGGGGGAGGGGAGGGTTATCGCGGGGTGAGGCGAAGTGCCGAGTTGATCCGGGATCGAACCCCTCCTGCAGCCGCCACTGCCAACGCTTTCACTCCCGAGTTCCAGGTTCCAGGTTCCAGGTTTGAGGTTCCAGGTTCCACTCTCCGGGACGCCTCCGACGGTCCACTGTGTACGGTAGGGAAGGCTTCACGTCCAGAGTGCACTTGGCCGCTTGGCCGGGGCTCGGCGTTCATTTCGCTGGCATAACTCCACTCCTCGTCGCTCGCGCGCAAGCGTGACTCTGGCTGCTCCCTCCCCCCCACCTCTCTCCTGCGAAAGGCGTGCCCGGGCGGTAATGGTCCCCCGCGGGTGGCCGCCACAACTGGGCGTGGCGGGGCGTTGAGCCGGGTGGCGGGCGTGGCGGGGCGTGGCGGGCGTGGCGGGGCGTGGCGGGGCGTGCGGGTCGTGGCGGGGTGGCGGGTCGTGGCGGGGCGTGTTGCGGGGCGTGGCGGGGCGTGGCGGGGCGTGGCGGGGCGTGGCGGGGCGTGGCGGGGCGTGGCGGGGCGTGGCGGGGCCGTGGCGGGGCGTGGCGGGGCGTGGCGGGCCGTAGCGGGGCCTCCCCAGAGGCCCATAGCCGCGGCCCCCTCGGCGACCTCCGGTCCGGGCGGGGCCCAAGCCATGGCCAAGCAGACGGCCTGAACGGACTGGGCGGAGGCCGGCGTGGCGGCGTGGCGGGGCGCTCCAAGTGGCCTGGCGTGGTGGCGCTCGTCCCCCGGCCGGGTACCTCGCGCGGCCCGCCAGCCACCCTGAAACATTGATACTTCCATCTAACTTGACGCCCCGCCCCGCCCGCCCGAGCCATCCGTGCGCCGCCCGCCCTTATTTGCAGACTGCAGTGCATCATTTAGCCGCCGGCCGCGCTGCCGCCGCGCTGCCGAGAGTTCCTAAAGTGAGCCGGACGGCGGCCAACGCCATTACCTGCACCTCCTCGCTGCCGGCCGTATTCATGGACTGAGGTGCCCCGCCGTAACGCGCGCAATCAAATTCCGTGTCACCGCGCGCGCGCGCGTGCGTGCGTGTGTGTGCGTGCGTCTTTGTGAGTGTTGCGGCGTGTGTGTGTGTGACCTGTTGAGGTGAGCCCCCAGACCCCGCAGCCCTCGGGGGGTCCGTGGTGCCCCGCGTGACGGTGACCTCGCCCCCTTCTGCCCCCCTGCCAGGGGCAGCCAGGGGCTCACCAGCCCCACCTGTTGCACGGGGAGGGGAGGGGAAGGGAGAGGGAAGCACCGCAGCGGCAGGAAAAAAGAGGAAGTCTCTTTTGCGGTCCTTGTCACGATGGGGACGACAAAAATAACCGGTCCACGTCAACGAGGCTTGAGTGTTTATTTTTGGCGCGGATCGAACCAATTTGTCATGTTCGACATACATGTTCTTACACACAAACATACACGCGCTCACCCGAAAAAAAAAGTATGGTTTTATGTCCAGAGAGAGATGCTCTTGATGAGATGCAGAGAAGGTAATTGTCTTGATGAAAATGCGCTACGCTTCAGGGCATTGACAAAAAGATTGGCTCCGAGGACGAGGATGCAGCCACTTGCGGGTGCAGGCAGGCACAGTGGCTTGAGGCTTCATGTGAGGAGTGTCTGCTGCAGGCTGCGACCTACGCGCCGCGGGAAGACTGCAGCTGGTCCTTCTGGCGGCGTGATAGCAGCGCCACCTTCTGGGCGCGCTGCACCACCTCGGGGCAGCCCTTGCGCCGCACCATGCGGCAGTCCTGGAAGAAGCCCTCGTTGCGGGGGAAGCCGTGGCTGTTGTCGGGGTAGGTCACCAGGCCTGCCAACGGACCAACGCGTTAAGGACACCACGCTCCAGCCTGGCCTTCCTGCGTGTCTCTCGCGCTGCAGGGGCGCGGAGGTTAGGTTAGGTTAGGTGCACCACACGAGTCGCTCACCCAGGCCCCAGATGCGGCCGCCCCGGAACTCCCCTTCGAACTTCATGCCGTCGGCCCTCCAGAAGACGCCGTGGCCGTGGAACCAGCCCTGCATCAGCTCGCCCTCGTACCTGCCGACAGAGGGCTGTCTTCTGTCTCTGTCGCACTCACGGCGCGTCGCCTGTGGCAGGAGAGACTCTTACTTGGCGCCGTCCGGGAAGATCATGACGCCGATGCCGGAGCACATGCCGTCCTTGAAGCCGCCGTCGTAGCGCGTGCCGTCGGGCAGGGCGAGGCGCCCCGGCCCGTGCTTGAGGCCGCGGTCGTTCCAGCCGCCCGCGTACCGGGAGCCGTCGGCGTAGCGGTGCGCCCCGGACCGCGCCACCCCTGCGTCAGTCCGCGTCAGTCCGCGTCAGTCCGCGTCAGTCCGCCACTCAGCAAGCGTGCCGTCCCTCTCGCACCCGCACCGAACCGGACGCAAGGCGCCGACAGTGCGAGAGAGACAGAGCGACGAAGCACTGCTCGGAATACCTGATTGATACCGGCTCGTCGCGTTACCGACGTACCTTCCTTGTCCATGCCGATGGTCGCCGCCGCAGTCCCCGCAGTCAGACTGAGACTACAGCACGGGGCCCCGGCCAGTCCGCGGCCCCAGGGGCTTCAGGTCGACCGGGGCGGGGCGGGGCGGGGCGGGGGCACGCGCAGGTTTAGCGGCCGTCCATTGGCTGTTGGCGAGTGCGGTCGACAACCTGGGGCTTCTCTCCTCTTCCCTTCGTGCACTGCACTGCCGACGACGCCGACATAACATCCTCCCCTGCCGAGAAACTAGAAACCCAGATGGAGCCCTGCAGACTGATTCCAAGCACTGCTTATCACTCTGACTCTCTCGCAACCCCCGCGCAAGTCCCTCAATAGTCAGGGAGAATCTCCTCAGTAGGGAAAATTCAATGTCGTCGAAACCATTTAACCCGGTTCCTCCCCATTTCTTCGGACACTGCGAGTAACTGCGAGCAGAGCAGTCTCAACTGAGGCTTTGGCGCTAAATCCAAGGACGTCCGTGTCCTACGGGTCACCCCCATGAGTGCAGTCTCATCTGCTTTGGCACTTTTGCACTCATGGGGGCGACCCCTGTAGGGGTGCGAGAGAGACGCAGAGAGACGCGGACGCCCTTGGATTTAGCGCCAAAGTCTTATTGGCAGAGCGTGAAACAAACGGCGATCGGCGAGACGAGGCGAAAGAACAACAAAAGGAGGAACGTGTTGTGTTGTGAACAGCGTATGACTTGTTTCATTTGATAGCAGAAGAAAAGTTCCTCGACACCGCCCATGGAAAACATTCCTGAAATTGGAGATTGCCGCCGGTGGTGATGTTCAATGATAGGGAGAGACGGAAAGGCATGGAGCTCCCTGCGCATTTGAGCCGAAACGACTGGGGTCTTCTCTCAAGCGGTGAATTCACCGGGCCCCAATAAATGGCTTGTGGGTATTCTGTTTTGAATCAACTTAGTCTTTTCCCCTGACTATGCTCGTTTAATTTTGTTAATGAATCCGTAGTACTAACTTTCATCTCGATGATTCAAGTTCACCCTCATCCCCAGTCCTTTAGGGTACTTATATTTTAACCTTCAAATTTATGAACATTTCTATCTAGGCCACTTATTTGTCGTTTGGCCATGGTTTTTGCTGGGATTGAAATTTCTTTTTATTTTCAATCGATTTATTATCATCTTTTGTATTCTGTGATGTATTTGACTCCTGTTTTCCTATGTGTTCCAGGTTACATTTGCCCTTCCTAACTTGTCGTCTTTGAGTGAAGATTTTTTTCTATCAGTATTTGGATGATGGAATTTGAGTACACTGTTCTTAGGAAAGAGGCAGACATGCATAATAGATGTTGTGGAGGCCTTGTTTGGTGCATCAAGGTATGGTCTCGTAATTTTGCACTTACTCATTTTTCTTATCCTGTATTGGTTAAAGTGTTGGGTCGTTTATAATCTGAATGTCATTTTTTTTGTTTGTTTGTTTTTAAGGATATATGTGGGATTATGTGTGCTGCCCTAACATGGCTACTAATCTTGTATGCCGAGTTTGTGGTCATGGTCGTCATGTTAATCCCCAGTCCTTATCCAGTGTATAGCACAATTAATGGCGTTGTTTTTCAATCACTTGCATTTCTTGCATTTGCATCACATCTTCGCACAATGTTTACAGATCCAGTAAGGGCAATTCTTTTCAACTCAATTCCTAGTGGTTGATTGAATTTAATTTATCTGTGTCCTGTTTTCTAGGGCGCTGTTCCCAAAGGAAATGCTACAAAAGAGATGATACAGCAAATGGGTTTCAGAGAGGGTCAAATGTTTTTCAAATGCCACAAGTGCTGCAGTATCAAACCTGAGAGAGCTCACCATTGTTCTGTATGCCAGAGGTAAAAATTTTCTGGGTTTGTGTTGCTGTGTTTTATTCATGTAATGTTTTCATCAGCCCTATTATCTTCCAGGTGCATTCGTAAAATGGACCATCACTGCCCCTGGGTCAATAATTGTGTTGGTGAAAATAACCAGAAGTATTTTGTCCTCTTCACTGTAAGCCCACATTCATTTTATTTATCTGAAAATTTTATTTCAAAATCTTTATGAGTCTTACTCTAATTTGGTGATGTTGCTTTCAGTTTTACATTGCTTCAATTTCAATCCATGCTCTCTTCCTGTCGGTGAATCAAACTATCACCTGTGTTAAACATGAGTGGAAGGATTGTTCTGTTTACTCTCCACCAGCAACTGTAGTTCTCTTGCTCTTCCTTGTATTTGAGGCCCTACTCTTTGCAATCTTTACCGTCATAATGTTGGCGGCCCAAATGCAGGCTATTTGGAATGATGAAACGGTACGGATCATTTTTGTTTCACCTGTTCAATTAATTTTCTCCCTCCTTATTATTGTATTTACTACCTTGCAAAAGCAGTACATAATTTCATTATTACCTTGTTTCTTCTGTCTCAAGGGCATTGAACAACTGAAAAAGGAAGAAGCACGGTGGGTGAAAAAATCCCGTTGGAAGAGTATTCAAGCTGTTTTCGGACGGTTTTCAATTTCATGGTTCTCCCCATTCACTACTCCTCTTCCTCGAATGAAGCATGAAGGGTTTCTTTACTCCGTGTAACACCATTGATCTTACTTCCAAGACAAATTAAAGTCATGATCATTTTCCCTCCTGCCTATTAGTAAGCTGCCTAGATAACAATAATACAGTCTTAGCAATTATTTTGTTTTTTATGAAAAATTAACTAATGGCTACCTAATTATTTTTCAGGGAGAGTCATTTACGCACAAAATACAGCTATCTGTAAACTCCTTGTCTCTTTCATAAAACACCCCAGAACAAACTCATAACTTTTACTATTGTCTTTCAGATGCCATGACTGAATCATCTTTTTCTTTTTTAAAGTGTGACTGACTTGTTATGTCATTTTCTTGTACGCAATATGTTCAACCCTTTTGTTTAATATTTTCCTTTTGGAGCATTTTTCATTAAGGAAATTTATGATGCCAGGTAAAATAAACTGGGTAAGATTATTACTCATGTTTTGTTGGCCTTGGATATTTTACTTAAAAAAGTTGACACTGTCCATTTTAAGCAGTATGTTGCTGTTAGATTACCTGAATTTAATTTTATCAAATGTTATAACTTGAATGGGTGGTATGAGTATAGTACTGTGCAGGAGCAGTATTACTGTACTTCAAGGTTTAGTAGATCATGCCATTTTATAAATATTGAAAGGTCTTTTTCTTTTCTAATATACTGTTTGTGTTCTTGTTTATTCTGTGAAGAACAGGAATAGGTGATGGAGTTTTAATAAAATTTCTCTTCCCAAATCATGAGGTATTCATTAAGTATTTGAGTGTTAAGTTTAAATATTTTGTCTAAGGATAATTGTATTCCTTTGTCAATAATTGTTAGATATTTTAAGTTAATTTTATTATGAGAATGTGTGCATCAAATGACTGTAAATCTAAGGAATATATCTAGTCCATGTGTGCTGAATGTACTTGTGTGCACATTTGTGCACAGTGCAGTGTTGCATTTGCAGAATGCAAAATATGAAACCTTTTTTGAAACACAAATTAACTGTTGATAGTACCTCTACAGTGCTGCATACAAAGCTAAGACTTGTGAAACGTACCTTGATTATGGACATTTTTGTACAGTCACATAGTGATTCTCCTGATGACTTTTTAGTTTAAATCTTGCTTTGGTGGTGGCAATAGTGTGCGTCTGCACTTGGTTATTTGCGACATACAGTTGTAGTTCATGCGATGCATAATAATTTTTATTTACTAAGTATTTAATGTGAGAAAAGGTCAGTATTTATTAGGCTGCACGCCTCCCAAATGCCATCAAGGCTCTTCATGTAGTCTGTTGTGTATCTTGCTTTGCCAAGTTTAAGGTGACAAGTTGTAAGTAATGTAACATTATGTTCAACAGTCACTTCATGAGGGTTTTCTATTCTTTTCAAAATTATGAATGAAATTTGTTTGAACCATAATTTTGTTTGCTGTTTTCTTCTGTAACTGTCAATTCATGTGTATTGTCTGAAAATCTATGTGCTTTTCTAGGATCACCTGCTGTTAAGGAAGATTTTATCAGTGGCACTTATAGAAATTGATGATTGTTACCCCTGTAGCTTTCTCTCTTATGAAACAGTTGTTCCAGCATTCAATGTTTGTGGCTGTTACATTCCTAAGAAATGTACCTGAATCCTTGTCTGCCCACATTTCCTGCTTGAATTAGATTTATTAAATTTAAATGAAAATAAAATTATAGAAACCTTTCTCTTTTGATTAAAAGCAACTATAGGTATTAAGACAAGTAAGCTCTGACCGTTGCCACAACGGGCTCACGGCACACCGCACACGTGGTGAGCGACGCGGCACACCTCACACAGGACACTAAATGTCCACAGGGAAGAAAAACCACTCCAATTTCTTCAGTAAGGCATATTTTACATGCCCTTGCATCATCCACCTGTTTGGTAACAGATGACTTGGAAGGTACTGCGATACTAGGAGTGGTCAAGCTGCTCTCATTCTCTTCAACACTCGAACAGTTGGCTTCTAAGGAGGAAACTTCCTCAGAAGTGCTGTAAAGCAGAAAAACTAAATCAACAAATAAAATTTGACAAATTTGCAGTAAGTTCAACTGTTGAAGTTAATTGCTTAATTTTCTTAATTTAAAAAAAAAGGGAAAAAAGAAAGATTAGTAGCCAATCTTATAATATATCCACAGACCTAGAACTTGCTGACTGAGGGCACTGTTTAACTACATTTGAAAAATCCTTAGGTATAGCCAGAGCTTTGATTTCCTGCAAGTAAAAGAAACTAATGAATGAGTCATCCATAACAACGGCAATTCGAATTACTACATGTGAGGCTTTTATAGAAATATATTACCTCAGGAGTAAGCGTTGCAGGCCTTTTCCCTAGAACCTCTGCAACGAATTCTCTGCCCTTGGTTTGCAGTAAATATCCACAGTTGGAGAAATACAGCGCATGTTCCCTCCAAGGTTCATCAGTCTCGGCCCAGTCCTTCAGCCCTCCTCCACACTGGAAACAAATTGTCTTGTCTCCAAGTCCTAGCAGATCGAAAGAAAAAAAGGATTAAAGCATTGAAGAGAAATTTGTGTATTTAATAGCGACGGTGTGATACTTCAGTGCGAAAGCTTACCGGTGTAAAAGAAACCAGCATCGGCGAGCTCCTGCGGCCTCAATTTTAATGCACTTGGCCAGCTTTCGAAGGATTCCAATCGGGCCTCTAATGTGATATATGAGGGGTGAGCTGGGCTGTACCTCTTGTGGATACCCAGTTTTTCAAGGGATAGTGCGATGGAACAGTTGTCAGACTTCTGAATGTTGTAAATCCCGCATTCATCAAAGCCAATAGGTTCTGGGACAGGGATTAATTGTACACTCTTTGGGTTTGGAGGCATCTGCAACAAAGATTGAGATAACAGTTAATACAACAGTAAGGGGAATTCGTCGCAGTATACCTCTCCGCAGCCCTCCAAACCAAGCCTTCGCTATCAGAAAGTTGAACTTCAGACAAAATAAAAAGTATGCCAATGCAAAACAACTTGCACTGGAAACAGGATGGGACCAAATGGTGCAAGCTGACGCGGTAATACACCATCCCTGACTTTTGTAAACAAGAAAGCAGGCCAACTATTACCGATGAAGAGCCGGCTTCACGAATCATCTTGACACTTATTCAAAATTCAATTAATCGTCTGCAGACGTGTGCGTCAGATGCGTCGAATCGTTGGTCAACAAACACGCACAGCAACAACAACAACAACAACAACAAGGATAAAAGAATTGTTCTGCGAATAGGCAGTCAGCTGTCAGCTGTCGGTTCATCCCGTCTGCTGGCGTTGCGTTCTCTTCTCGCACTCGTGGGATCTGGACTGGACCCGGAGGGTTTCCTTCTTGTGTCCAGAAACCTGTAAAGGTTTTTGCTACACCTTCTAAGGCGTATCGGCGTTTAAAACGTCGATCTACTCACCCCGCACCAATCATGGCCTGTGTCTTGTATGCAAACTCGGCGGATGCGCCGATCGGTAAGTTCATTTATAACCTTTATAATATTATCTATGATAGATTTTCTGTCAGTACCTAATGATTAATCCATCGAACTGAGAGAGCTTTCACAGACATTAATGTAATATGAACGTGTTATGATGCACTTAATTTGCGGGACTGATGCTTAATTTTTTCTTCAGGCGCTCTGCTGATGGTTGACTACGTGAAGGATCTAAAGAAAGTAAAGGTAGAATGGTCTAAAGAGACATCGTTGAAAATTGGTGCAGAAACTTTCTCCTCCGTCCCCACAATTTGTCGATACCTTGCTCGGAGCGCCTCAAAGCTTGCTCTCTATGGCGGCAACATTTTGCAACAAACTGAGGTAAGTGTTGTTAGGAATTTCATCATGTTTTATTTTGAATGCGTATTGCGGATCTTGTTTGTTTTTACCGCTTTATTTTCTAGGTTGACCACTGGCTTTCCTTCAGCTCAGGCCCTTTGGTCTGTGCTCATGACTTTGAGGATGCTGTGGCATATTTCGATCGCATTTTGGGGCCTGTCACTTATCTTGTTGGCGAAACATTGACAGCTGCAGACTTTGCAGTGTGGGGTGCACTTCATGGTTAGTGTTTTGGTGATTTTACCTTCTAAATTGTGTTTTGAAGTATCTTACCTGATAACCTGATCATTTACAGGTTCCAGTAAATTCCCTGCTCTTCTTAACAAGAAGACTTATCCAAATGTGAAGCGATGGTACGAGTTCATTAAATCGCTGCCATCCGTTCAGTCGGTGATTTCCTCTCTTCCTGAAGAAGTGAAGGCTGCACCAAAGAGTCAAAGTCAGCCGACAGATGAAACAGGGCGTAAAGAGGAGGGCAAGTTCATTGATCTGCCTGGAGCGGAAATGGGAAAAGTGGTTGTCCGATTTCCCCCAGAGGCCAGTGGGTAAGAAACATTGTAATCGTCTTTCCATGTTCTCTTAGGCTTTTTCACTCCCTTCTTTAATATTTTGACTGTATTGTAGTTATCTTCACATTGGTCATGCTAAAGCTGCACTACTGAATCAGTATTATCAGCAAGCATTCAAAGGGAAACTTATCATGAGGTTTGACGACACCAACCCAGCCAAAGAAAAAGTTGACTTTGAAAAGGTACCTGGCTGTAAATAGTCTTTATTGAATAGGTTTTATGAATGATGTTAAATAATTTGTGTTGTTTTTTTTCTCTTGTTTTAACAGGTCATTTTAGAAGACTTGGAAATGCTGGAAATAAAGCCTGATCAATTTACCCACACATCCAGTTACTTTGATTTAATGCTTGAAATGTGTGAAAAATTGATGAGGGAGGGTAAGGCTTATGTGGATGACACTGAACCAGAACAGATGAAGGCTGAACGAGAGCAGAGAACTGAATCCAAAAACAGATCTAACTGTGAGTTCTTGATCAGACATTTTTCCTCTTTGCTGCTGAACTGCTCCTAATAAAGTTAATATACTATTCTTTCAGCCCTTGAGAAAAATATGTCAATGTGGAAGGAAATGCTTAAGGCTTCAGAGTTTGGTATTAAATGTTGCGTTCGTGCCAAGATTGACATGGGCTCAGCAAATGGTTGCATGCGTGATCCAACTATCTACCGTTGCAAGCCAGAGCCTCACCCACGCACAGGCTACAAATACAAGTAAGTTGTAGTAATAAGTAGGTGTTGTAATTAGTAGGTGTAGTAATTAAATTGCTTAATCCATTGCCTTTCTGCCTCCATTTTTATCCAGAGTTTATCCCACCTACGATTTTGCTTGCCCCATTGTGGACAGCATTGAGGGTGTTACTCATTGTCTAAGAACTATGGAATACCATGACCGCGATGACCAATTTTATTGGTTCATCGATGCATTGGGCCTCCGCAAGCCTCACATTTGGGAATACAGTCGTTTGAATATGACAAACACAGTATTATCAAAGAGGAAATTGACATGGTTTGTTGAGGAAGGTCTTGTAGATGGCTGGTAAGTAGATTTTCAGAAATAGTTTGAAGCATGCCTTTTTCAGGAGGGTTTTTAATTAAAACCAACTTGAACTCTTTTCAGGGATGACCCCAGGTTCCCAACAGTGCGTGGAGTTCTTCGCAGGGGCATGACTGTTGAAGGATTGAAGCAATTTATCATTGCCCAAGGCTCTTCTAGATCAGTTGTTGTTATGGAATGGGACAAAATTTGGGCATTCAACAAAAAGGTAAGGAATGATCTTTATGGGTTGTACACGGTTTGCTCAGGAGCACTTGGTTATGTATTGATTGACTCTGTATCAGGTTATTGACCCAGTTGCTCCTCGATTCACTGCCCTGGAGGCTGGTTCGACTGTTCCTGTGATTGTGAAGGGTGTGAAAGAGGAGTGCCTTGAAGTGGCAAAGCACCCCAAAAATGCTGACATTGGCATGAAGAAGGTTTGGGTTGGACCCAGAATTCTCATTGATTACGCTGATGCTGAAGTTCTGAAGGAAGGAGAGAATACCACTTTTATAAATTGGGGCAACCTCATTATTAAGAAGATTAACAGGTAATATTTTAAGATGTTACAATTCCATACACCTGTAATAATTAAAGTGTGAGTCAATACTACTGCTTTGGCCATTGATTTCCAGGAAGGGTGGCAAAATTGAATCAGTGGAGGCTGAGCCTAATCTGGACAATAAGGACTTCAAGAAAACACTGAAGATTACTTGGTTGGCTGAAACTCCCAAAGCTGAATTCACTCCTACCTATTGTGTCTATTATGACCACATCATTAGCAAAGCTGTCTTGGCAAAGGATGAGGACTTCAAGACTTATATTCCTAAGAGTACAAGGGTAAGTAAAAAATATGGCCCTGTCATGTAAAATTTTTTAGTGTCTTTATTCACTTTTGTATGTGCATGGTTTCTAGACGGAAGTGTCCATGGTGGGAGATCCAGAGCTTGCTGCTCTGAAAGTGGGAGACATCATCCAACTGCAACGTCGGGGCTTCTTCCGTGTTGACAGTGCCTATGCACCATTGAGGTATGTAAAGGCCTAACCATCCCTGGAGACCAGTCTTTCCCATTTAATTTATTTTTTTCCCCTCTGCAGCCTGCACACTGCCAAGGTGTCTCCTATTGTCTTGATCGCCATCCCGGACGGGCACACGAAGGAGCAGCCCACTGCCGGAGCTCCCAAGAAGCAGGAGCAGGCCATGAGCACCAAGGAGGTACGAGTCCTAAACCTAGTTGTTCTTCAGGATGGCTGACGTGTTAAGGCGTTAAGGCAGGGCAGGTAGGACAGCCGAGCGCGCGGTTCGAACTTGGCAGTCGAGCGCGCGTTGGCCGGGCCGTGGCGAGCCGCTTCGCAGACCGACCCGAAGGCACCCGAAGGCGAGCCGGCTGGACCCGAAGCTCCCGAAGCGCGGAGCCGAACGAGGTCGTGAACCACAACCACCCGCGTCGTGACGTGTCGGCTGTCTGCTGCCCGCGTTCGGCGGCAAGCAGTGAAAGTGAAAGTGTTGGAAGCAGAAGTCAGAAGTTGGACGACGCTGGCACTGGGCACTGGCAGGTCCTGCCACACGGGTGGACAGTCCGGCGGGACACAGCTGTTGTTCGTTCTGACAGTGTGCTGCGTTGCGGCGCGTTGCTTTCTTGCGCCCCTTGTCAGCATCTGTTATCGAGCTGTTGACTGATCCACAGGGCGAAGGCTGATGTATGTGTTACGCTGAAATGATGACTGAGCTCTCGTTAAATTATACATTTGCGTCAAAATATTGTTAAGGCCTGCTCTTGAACGTGGGTTTGTGACATGGTGCATTGTCTTGTTAGCTCAAGACTTATTGAAGAGCCATGAAAATAATAATGAAGGGATTTAAAAATTATTAAAATAACTTTAACATTCATCCATGTAACTTTTCTAGTTTCATGTTTTTTTTTGGTAATGTTTCAACTCTGTTTATTTGTGGCATTTTCCTTTGGTCTACAGAAAGCACAGTCAGCCAAGGGCAAAGTTGCCGAGAAATCTCCTGTTGAAGAGACTCCAGCCAAACCTATCGGTGCAGTGGATGCAGCAACTATCAACACACTTATTACCCAACAAGGTGATCTTGTGCGGAAACTGAAGGGTGACAAAGCAGACAAGGTAAAGTGCGAATGCAAGTTTTATTTTTTAGATGTAGAACCTGGTATTTTTTGTATAAAGTGGGTTGAGTTATGTTATTCCTGTGTTTGCACTTCAGGCTTCAATTGATGCAGCAGTAAAAACTTTGTTAGAACTGAAAGCCCAATTCAAAACTGCTGCTGGCGTTGATTGGAAACCCGGCGTTGCTGTGCCACAGGCTGTAAGTGAAAAAACATTTGGAAACAGCGAAGCTGCTATCCTTGCTCAAATTGCTGAGCAAGGCGAGAAAGTTCGTAAGATCAAGGCTGATAAGGCTCCTAAAGACCAAGTCGATGCTGCAGTGAAGATCTTACTGGAGCTGAAGGCTGAGTACAAGAAGGTAACTGGTAAGGACTGGAAACCTGGTGCCCAGGCCAGCAGCGCTCCAGTGTCTGCTACCCCCACCCCTTCTGCAGCTGGTGGATCAGATGAGTTGTCTGCTGCAATAACCGCACAAGGTGACCTGGTTCGCAAGATCAAAGCAAACAAAGCTTCGAAGCAGGAAATTGATGCAGCGGTGAAGGATTTATTGGAACTGAAGGCCAAGTACAAAGCAGCAAGTGGTCAAGACTGGAAGCCAGGTCAAGCTCCCACTGCAGCAGTTGTCACTTCACCCGCATCGCCCGGTCCTGCCTCACCAGCTCCTGCTTCACCAGCTCCTGGATCTCCAGCATCCCCTGGCGGCAGTGATCAGCGTAACAGCCTTCTTGAAAAGATTGCGCAGCAGGGAGACAAAGTTCGGGTCATCAAGGCTGCTAAGGCAGACAAGAGTACTGTTGACGCTGAAGTTAAAGTATTGCTAGCACTGAAAACAGAGTTCAAGAAAGTCACAGGTGAAGACTGGAAGCCAGACTTGAAACCAGCTGCGGTGTCTTCTACCCCTTCCTCTGCTCCTGCTGCTGCTACCACCCCAGCCAAAATGACTGACAACAAGGTTGAATCGTTGGTTTCCAGTGTGAATGCACAGGGTGAGAAAGTCCGACAGCTGAAAGCTTCTGGTGGAAGCAAAGTAAGTTATCTGCTTCAGCAAACCCATTTACTATTCAAGCCCAATGGTTTGTGTTTAATGTTCATGTTGTTAATATTTTTTTCATTCATTAACCTTTTTAGGATGAAATTGATGCTGCTGTGAAACAACTTCTGAGCTTAAAGGCTGAATATAAAACCGTTACCGGAACTGATTTTCCTGTTGCTGGTCGCACTCCCAAGCCAGCAAAGGCTGCTGCTCCACCTAAAGAAAAGTCTAAGCCCAAACAACAGCCCAAAGAAAAAGAAACCGAGGTAGGTCAGGAAGACTCTATCTTATCTTTCTTATTTGAGATTGTATTTATTATTACCACGATTTTATTAAATAATTGCAAGTGTATTTTGTCTTGTGTAAATAATAATAATAATCTCTTTGCAGGATGGCCAGGGTGTTAAGAAGCAAACTCGCTTGGGAATGGAGGCTCGCAAAGAGGAAAACTTGCCTGATTGGTATTCACAAGTAATTCAGAAGGGTGAAATGATAGAATATTATGACGTGAGTGGCTGTTACATCCTTCGTCCATGGTCTTTTGCTATTTGGGAAGTGCTCAGTGGTTGGTTTGACAATGAAATCAAGAAGTTGGGAGTTCAGAACTGTTACTTCCCTATCTTTGTCTCGCGTGCTGCTCTTGAGAAAGAGAAGGATCACATTGCAGACTTCTCACCTGAGGTACTGGCTTGCTCAATTTTAAGTCAATCTTTTCAAGTAAAGAATTTTTTTTCCATTATGTGGCTTTTTTTTCTTTCAGGTCGCCTGGGTCACCAAGTCTGGTGATTCTGATTTGGCTGAGCCCATTGCTATTCGTCCTACTAGTGAGACAGTGATGTATCCAGCTTTTGCCAAGTGGATTCAGTCATATCGGGATCTCCCTATCAAACTTAACCAATGGAACAATGTTGTTGTAAGCATTTGATCTGATATGTAGCTTCTTTTAATTACCATACAGTAGGGTTTGTTTTGGTTTCTTATCTGAAATGAATTTTTTATTTGTCAGAGGTGGGAGTTCAAACATCCTCAGCCTTTCCTTCGAACTCGTGAATTTTTGTGGCAAGAAGGACACACTGCTTATGCAAACCAGAAGGACGCAGAGGACGAAGTCTACACTATATTAGGTTTATAGTTTTCCCTTTGGGATCCCTTTAGATGCTATGAAAAGAGTTTGATTCTATATTCAATCTTTTTTTTTCCAGATTTGTATGCAAGGATTTATGAGGAGCTTCTAGCTATTCCAGTGGTGAAAGGCCGCAAAACAGAAAAGGAAAAGTTTGCTGGAGGTGATTTTACTACGACTGTTGAAGCTTTTGTAGCAGCAAGTGGGAGAGCCATTCAAGTAAAATGCAATTTTTAATATTTCAGGCAGTTGTTTTAGTATTGAGTGTGCACTGTTCTTGACTCATCTTTTTATTTTTGCAGGGTGCTACTTCTCACCATCTTGGACAGAATTTCTCAAAAATGTTTGATATCGTTTTTGAAGATCCAGAGACTCAAGAAAAGAAGTTTATCTTCCAGAATTCTTGGGGATTTACCACGAGGACTATTGGTATGTTGCAGTTCTTTTCATGCTATTTGTGAGGTAATTGCTGTTAATATCTTACTCTGTTAATACATTCTTCCTTTTCACAGGTGTCATGATCATGGTCCATTCTGACAATCAAGGTCTGGTTCTTCCACCCCGAGTTGCTCCCACTCAGGTAAGTCTTTGATAGTGTTTCTTTGTTATTGAAACTGATGTGTCCTTACTTCAATAAGTTAAAATTCTTGTTTCTTTCTAGGTGATCATTGTTCCGTGTGGTGTGACAGTCTCCATGAAGGAGGAAGAGAAGAAGGCTCTCTTTGCCTCATGCAAAGATCTAGAAGAAGTATTACGCAAGAAAAACATTCGGGTTGAGGGTGACTACAGAGACAACTACTCTCCTGGCTGGAAGTTCAATCATTGGGAGCTTAAGGTAATATTGAAATATATATAAAATTTAACAGTTCTCTCTCTTGAAATATTTTTGATGCTGAAATTATACTGTTTCTCAGGGAGTACCTATCAGGATAGAGCTTGGCCCCAAGGATCTTAAAAACCAGCAGTTGGTTGCTGTCAGAAGAGACACTGGTGAGAAGACCACTATTCCGCGCCCAAAGGCGGACATAGAGCTGGCTTCCCTCCTTGAGACTATCCAGAAATCAATGTTTGACAGGCAAGTTCATAGCTCCTCAACTAAAGTGAAATGGGACAAAAAAAAAGTTGGGGCTAGAATGAAGTTTTTAATTATTTGTGTATGATTGCAGGGCGACCAAAGATTTTGGTGAGCACACAGTGGTATCCAAAAGTTGGGATGAATTCTGTTCTGCTTTGGAGAAGAAGTGTGTGATTATGTCTCCATTCTGTGGGGAAATACCTTGCGAGGACAACATTAAGAAAGACAGTGCAAGGTGGTGTTTTCTTTCGTGTACAAGATTTAAGATGTTTCCAATTTTTTACGTACTGCATATTAACTTGCCTTTTGTTTTTAGGGACGATGAGGCTCAGGACTCAGGAGCACCTGCTATGGGAGCCAAGAGTTTGTGCATACCATTCAAACCACCTGCACAGATTACTGCAACTGACCGCTGCATTCATCCAGCTTGCAAAGCCAAACCAAAAGCTTACACTCTATTTGGACGTAGTTATTAATCCTAGTAATAATAATGATAATATTATTTGGGAATTTTGGCTTCAATATTGAAGGCATGTGAATATGAATTAAACAATGATTTAGTTGTATGTTTCTTGTATTTTGTATCCCCCTGGAAGTATACACACAGTTAACCAAAAATACTGAAGCTAAAAAGAAACTTTAATTTTGTACAGTACTTACAGTGCCGATTACTGTATTAAGGCAAAACATGATTTAACTTTTACATCTAAAGGTACATAGTTCCCTAAAAGAGCAACTATTTAAAAAAGATGAAACGAATATTTTAATGTTAATTTTAGGGCTTTGCTCCTTTTCCCTCAGCTTTGGTTTCTGACTCCTTTTCTTTGTCAATTCTTTCGTGTTCTTCTTTCACTAGTTTTCTCAACTCGTCCTAGAAGAAAAAGTAGAGAAAAACAGAGACTATTACTCAGTCCAAAACCAAAACTGGTTGTTCAGATAGCAGGCAACTGTACTTACTCCCCATCCCAGCTTGTCGGCAAGAAGTTGACATCCATCATCACAATCTCCAAGCCAGGCAACATCACGGGTGCTCTTGTCACTGAAATCCATACCACCACCCATTCCGAGCAAGGCCATGAGTCTATCCCCCTCACCAGCTTTCTCACGATTAATTAACAGCCGGGGGCAATCATGTTTCACTCTAAAAGATTAAATATGCCATTAATTTCAGCACATCAAAAAAATAAAATCTTAAGGCTTTACAAGCCACTTACTTGTTTACTAATGACGCAAAGGGCTGAACAACCAGAGATGAACCCATGACAATGAGCAAATCTGCTTCATCAAAATCCTTACTTATGGAGGAATAGAATCTATCTGGTAAATTTTCTCCAAAGAACACTATATCTGGTTTCACAACACCAGGACACTTTTCACAAATAGGTATCTGGTCTGAGAAAATTCTTTCTGCAAGACACCCAAGATGACAACATTGAGTTATCTTTTGTAAATCAAATGCAAATCAATTTAAAAAAGAAAATGCATCACAAAATTAACATAAAACAGTACCTTTCATCCACTCCAGTTCGTACTCAGCTCTACACTCAAGGCAATGAGATGTATAAAATGTCCCATGGGCTTCAATAAGGACTTCTCCTGGCACTCCAGCAACTCGTTCTAATGTATCAATATTCTGCCAAGGCAAAAAAATTATTGTTGACAGTAAAGGTTTCTTTTTCTTATGATTGCCGTGCTATAATTACCTGGGTGTAGTGGCGAAGTAACATGCCCTTTTCATTAAGGAGTTTGATGAAGTAATGGCAAATTGTTGGCTTGAATGAACCTGGATACAATTCTTTTGCAAGGAGAAAGAATGGCTTGGGATTTTCTTGAAAGAAATCAATTTCAAATACGGCTTGAGGATGTGGCAGGTTGTATTTTTCCAAATTATTGTACAACCCCGATTCAGGAGACCGAAAGTCTGGAATTCCAGCAGCTGAAATAACACAGAAGTTGTGAGAAACTGAAATAAGGCAAAAGAAATCAAAACCATGCAAATTAATTTTAATTTTGAATTACTGACATGTTGATATTCCAGCTCCAGCCATGGTGATTATTCTCTTGACTTTTCCATCTTTAATATGCTTGACAACACCATCCAAGGTGAGTTCTTCAAGTACCTGAATGATCGTAACTTTGTAATAATCACACGGCACCACCTGTCATTGAACAACATTAGTTTTGCATCAATTGTTATTACCTTTTGATGAGATTTTTCTTCACTATCAAGGAATCCTAGCTTGTCTGCCATGTAGCGCCTGATCATCTCAATCGTTGAGTCATCCTTCGCATCTGAGACCCTTGAAGGACCACTGGTTGCTTCATCGTCACTCGAACTATTCGATTCCACTGAAATAAAATACATCAATTTAGAGGTTACACTTGAAACATAAAGCGCAAAAGAAAATTGAATAGTTTGGATACAGTCCAACTAATTCTGGAAAATATCACAAGTTTGTTGGCTATAGTGGATGACCAGCCAAACTTGAGTACTGAAAGAAGCAAATTCAATTACAATAAAATTACCTTTAGCTGGTTTTGATGCCATGATTCCGACTGAAGACAAACTACGTCGGAGTGATAATAAGGGCCGGAGGAACCTGTGGGCAGCCGTCTTGAGAAAATTAAAAATATCGTCAAGTCCACAAAAGTCAGGACCAGCTGGCAAGAGACAAATGTTTTGGTTCACACAAAAACACACACACATGCGCAGGGCGCAGGGGCGCTTTACTTCGGGGGGCCTTCAGTAAACGAGGAACTTAGGAAATGTTCCGGCCGAGGGGACGGGCGACGGGCGGAATGTGACCATCATCCAAAATGGCGTCTTTGTAAACTCCGCCGACCGCTGTCTTCTTTGCATGTTTTGGTCCCTGATCCATTGATTTTACTATTTTGAACAGTGATGGGGTGAGTCGTTCTTCTAGTAGCAACGTATCCGCCCCAATAAGTCCCAATTACATTACTCTGTGATCGTCGTGTGGAATCTCCACCGATACTTCAGAAGTGCAGATGTATTCGTGTGCGTTACGTTTCTCTAGAAATTTTCAGTTCATAGTCTACTCACTCTGTCGTTTATTTAAAATCGACCGATTTTATTTTCTTCCAAAATTGACCATTTCATTAAATGGGTGACTGGGCTGCTGAACAAATTGCTATGTGCTTAATAACCTCAATGTCGTTTCCCCGGTACCCCCTCCTCCCCCCATCACCTCCCACATTCATTTTCCTACAGAGGGACTCTACATAATGCTTGTTATCACCTTTAATGGTGCTCATGGTTTTACTTTATTATAGCACTTCAGTGTAACATCATGATCAGTTTAGATTGATCTTTCCAGGTCCTCTGACGATTCAGATGCCTCTGTAGATTCGGACTCTCCTGAAATCGTTGAAGACAAACCAAGTGATGCTGCCAAGTCTGAGTCTGATGCCAGGAAGAAAAAGAAAAAACATAAGCATCACAAACACAAGAAGCACTCATCCAAACATGACAAGTACTGCTTAAAAATTTTGTTATATTTTTATGTATTGATAAATTTTGTTTGCTTTTTACCTAAAAAATATTCTCATTACAGAAAACATAAAAAACACAAACGTCGGAAGAGTGAGAATGGAGAAGATAAAAAAGTACCTAAAGAACAAAAGCAGATAACAAATGGTGCTGGAACCATTGATATAGACTCGCCTTCTAGCTCTGTTAGTGTGAAGGTTGACAAAGATGCTGATTCTGATCTTGAAGTTATTATTGAAGATGAAGTTGATCTTGATTTGGATGAACTCATGCGTCAGAAGGTATAATCAAGTTTTTCTGATAATGTTACAGAGAAATATTTGGTTTGGAAAAGCAGAAAGGGCAAATAATAATTACATTGCCATTCATGGTTTCTACAGGAGCTTCTTCAGGCTCGCCTTGGTGAATGCCTATTTGAGGATAAAGCCAAAGAAGACCCGGAAGTAATTAATCTCGTTGATGAGGACTCTGATAAAGATGATGGTCTCAGAAATGATAGACGCAAGCGAAGGATTATTAGGTGTGTTATCTTTGGATTTGAATAGTCTTCTTTGGTTGTCTCTTGGTAAATCTAACTCCCATTCTATATTATCTTAGCAGTGGAATGCAGGACAAGAAAACTAAAATTACAACTTCATCTGCTGCACCTGAAGAAAAAAGAAAATCATCTTCTGACCTAAAGGAACCAAGTAAAAGACCACGAGAAGAGGAAGGAGCATTCCGAAAAGATGTGAAATCTGAAGATAAATCAAGGTATCTATATTACAAGGTCCAGAGCTTACTCATTTTTATTAATTTGTTGTGCAACCACATTAAGTTTTGTCAATGCCCTTCAGGAAGGAAGATTTAACTCGAGGAGATAGCCGCTCTAGAAGAGCAGATGACTCAAGACGCAAGGAGGATGAAATACGTAAGAGAGATGAGAAGAAACGATCAAGCCGCAGCCGTTCCCCTATAGGTGATCACTTCAACCCAACCTCAACTGTGGTGGATTACCTTTGGTAACTGAGTAAAGAACCTGTTCTGTTTCTTAGGTGGACGACATCGCGCTCTGCCAGATCGGGACCGGGAAAGAGAGCGAGAGCGAGAGCGGGAGCGGGATCGTGACCGAGAAAGAGAGAGGGAACGAGAGCGCGAGAGGGAGAGAGAAAGGGAGCGGGACCGCAACAGGGAGAGGGACAGGAGGCTGGACAGGGACAGGGACCGGGATCGCGAAAGGGACCGCGAACGGGAGAAAGGGCTGGACAGGGACCGGGACAGGGACCGAGATAGGCGGTCGTGGAGGTCCATGTCACCCCGGAGTAGGGAAAGGGACCGTCGTAGCCGGTATTATAGTGGCAGGTAAGCCTTGCTACATTTCTAATTTCTATTATTTTATTTTTGGTTGGGCTAATTTTGTTTATTTAACAATAGGTATGGCAAGGACAAGCGTGATAGAGATGACAAGTTTAAAGGCAGTCTGTCAGAAGGTTTGAAGCAAGACAAATCGTCTTCAGAGGAAGAAGAGTAAGTTCAGTTTATTGTTTCTGTTACGTTCATTTCTTCTGAAAGGATTTGTAAGTCATTATTTGGTTCACAGTGTCCCTGACATTAATATTGATGAAGATGAAGAAGATGAAGAGCAAATCATTGAGCGGAGAAGGAAACAACGGGAGGAGTTGCTAAAGGTATTACCTTGCATAATGTGTGCTTAGTGTCTTGCTTTGTTTAATCTGAACTGAGTTTCTTAATTTTTTTCTCTTTTACAGAGGCTAGGAGCTGGTAGTGAAGATTCCAATTTATCCACCTCAAACTTAAATGCGTCAGATTCTGGCAGTCCTGCGACAAGACCAGGTTCTGTTGAGCTTATACATATTAGTCAAAATACAATAATTGAAGAAAAGGACACATCACCGGAGGATGAACCAAAGTTAAAGAAAAAGTCAAGATTTGATCAAGAACCTGATGAGCAGGCGTCTCAGAAGGAAAGTAAAGAAGATAAAAAGCTGGGAAAGAAGAATGATTGGGACATGTTTGCAGAAGCAGATAATTTTGCGGCTGTTAATGTAAGTGTTTTATTATTGAAGTATGCACTTCCCTGCTTTATGAGTCACAAACTTAATGAAATTTTTATTTTGCAGAGCCCTAGTGCTCTAGAAAAACACGGCAGAGTTCCTGAAAACCCGAGTCTAACAGATAACTGGGATGATGCTGAAGGCTATTATAGAGTAAGAATTGGCGAAGTTTTGGATGGCCGTTACAATGTTTATGGATACACCGGTCAAGGTGTATTTTCAAATGTAGTCAGAGCTCGAGATGGTGCTCGTGGCAATCAAGACGTGGCAGTTAAGATCATCCGCAACAATGAAATAATGTACTGAACTAGGTCATATTTATGTAAGTTGCATTATTTTTAACTGAACTGGCATTTAATGATAATATTTTTCCTAGGCACAAGACTGGTCTTAAAGAGCTTGAGGTTTTAAAACGATTGAATGATGCTGACCCTGATGATCGATGCCATTGCCTTCGTCTCTTCAGACATTTCTTCCACAAGCAGCATTTATGTATGGTTTTTGAGCCGCTAAGTATGAACCTGAGAGAGGTATGACTTTGTCAATGTGGTTGTAAACTTTTTTTGCTAATTTTTGGAATTTTAAGTTAGGACTAGCTCTTTTCATAAGTTAATGCAAATTTGGTGTTTTATAGGTCCTTAAAAAGTATGGTAAAGACGTTGGTCTTCATGTCAAAGCGGTGCGGTCTTATAGCCAGCAGCTCTTTCTGGCACTGAAACTATTGAAGAAGGCTAATATACTCCATGCCGATATTAAGCCAGACAATATTCTTGTAAGTCTATGTTCAGCAAATATTCAACTAAGAACTTAGTTGTTTCCCAATTAGTCTTTAAACCTGATACATAGTTTCATCTTGACTTGATTACAAAGCAGACTCTTTGGTAGTTCTAATGCTTTGCTTTGCTTTTGAGGTGTTGAGCAGCAGTTACCGGCCTTTTAGCCTCACATCTCCATGCAGGGAACTGAAGCTCCATATTTCTCTGAGAAGAGCTGAAGCTATGTACTGTCTGTCATACCAGCCCTAGGCTCACAACTTTGGAACTGTAAGCGTGTTTTTAGTTGGTCTTTTTGTTTTCTTTCAGGTCAATGAGAGCAAGCTAGTGTTGAAGCTTTGTGATTTTGGTTCAGCATCTCATGTTGCCGATAATGAAATCACACCTTATCTTGTCAGTCGATTTTACCGTGCTCCCGAAATTAGTAAGTAATGAAGTCAAATTGAGTGTCGTTTGCTAATTACTGTATTTCCTTGAAGAAAGTACGTTAATACTGTGGGTCTGTTTACAGTTTTAGGCATCCCATATGATTTTGGCATAGATATGTGGTCAGCCGGTTGTACTATATATGAACTTTACACTGGGAAGATCATGTTCTCTGGGAAAACTAACAACCAGGTGATTATTCATCAGTTTTTTTTTTTAAAGTCTTATGTCTGCATTACTTCTGATCAATTTTAATTGTATTAATGTGGTCTGTTACAGATGCTCAAATTTTTCATGGATCTAAAGGGTAAAATGCCTAATAAAATTATAAGGAAAGGTGCATTTAGGGACCAACACTTTGATGCTAATTGCAATTTCCTATACCATGAAGTTGACAAAGTAACAGAGCGGGTCAGTATCTGTTGTTAATTTTTGAAGTACACTGTACATTATAAAATCTTGTTGATTTTTAAAATAATTTTTTTGTTAATAGGAGAAGGTTGTGGTGCTTAGCACATTAAATCCAAGCAGGGACTTGCATTCAGAACTTGTAGGAAATCAAAACTTGCCAGAAGATCAGTCAAGAAAAGTAATGCAGCTGAAGGACCTCCTGGACAAGATATGCATGTTGGATTCGAGTAAGCGACCAGCCATCAATCAAGCTCTTCTACATCCATTCATTCAAGAGAAGATTTAGAGCTTTTAATTCTAGAGTCATACTTTATGTTTCATTTAAATCATTATTAAATTGTTACATGAACTGAATTTTTGTACAGCTTTTACATTACAAAGGCGTGGCAGACTGTTACTTTTGTTTCTCGACTTCATCCTGTATTTTGCATGTCACAAGTTTAGACAGGTCCTCAAATTTTTTAAAAGAAGGTTGGGCAGGGGGATTGTCATGTACATCTTTTAATTTAACTGATATATTACTTTTGCCTTTCTTGTATCCGACTCTCCCTTCTTTGCTGCCTGTTTTGAGGTACAGCACTTCTCATTCAGTTCCGTTCGCTTTTGTTCATGCATCATAATCTGTGATGTTTTTATGTATCTATTTTTCCCTCAGATTCACACCTTAATATTCTAGTCGGTGTTCCCCTCCTCTTTCTCTCCCTTCCCCCCTTTGTGTTCCATTAGTGCACTTTGTTTATTTTGAATTTCAACATTTTCTCAAATTGACAGATTGTACTAATTGGGAAAATGATGAATCTCTAGTGTTTGATAATAGTAGATTGCATCATTTGAATTTTGATTGCTGTTGTTGCCTATCAATAGAAACACCATCGTTGATTGTTTTTGGTCATACTGTCTTTACTGGGAAATTAATTTTATAAGTAACCTAGTTCAAGCGTTGCCCTTGTTAAATGAAATTTTATTGCAGAACTTTATAATTTTGTCATATTACTGTTCGTCTATGAAAAAATTATTTCATTTACCAGATATGTTAATTTTACTGTATCTCTGTTCATAAATCTTTTTTTTGTATTTACACATGCACTAATAAGACGAACTCATAGTAGTGCATGTGTGTAAAATAGGTTTTTCCTCCCGATTCTTAGAAGTATGTGGTGTTTGACTGGAAACTGTTTTATTTGATGAATTTATAAAAAAAAAGTAGTGAATAAAAAATAATCATTGATGTTTCTAGAATATTTTTAATTTTCATTCAACCTTTTCCCAACATATTAAATTGAAACTCTTTGCCAAACTAACCAAGTCGGCTTTATACATCAAACTTAATTTTACACATTGCAGGGCTTGCAGTCAATTTTGACATAATTGCACAAAACAGTAAAATAGATAGTCCATGATTTCACGTTACTTACAAATTAGTTTCTTTTGAAACTTCTGAGTACCATTGCTTGAAACAGTGTTTATAACATAATTGGATATAGCAGACGCTGGATCCGCCTTGTAGTGGGTGTTGGATAAAACTGCCTTGAAGGCCTTGATACCATCCATGCTGGAAAGAAATGGAAGAGAAAAAAGAAATTCACAAATGGAAAAAATAAGAAAAAATTTAACTGCTGTAAAGATACTTACAATTGCTTATTTCTTTTCTTTTTTGAAAGGCAAGCTTTCACTTGGGAAACTTTACCCTTTTTGCTAGAACCTGGCTCCTTGTCTGATGAGGGGAGCATTGGCAAAGCATCTATAAGGGTTGCCATTTGCATAGGCTTTGGGACTTCTTTCTTTTTGGAAAGTTTAAATGCCTTCCTTGCATCTAGTTTTAGCTGCCTAACAGTATCAATTTCTGAAAGGTAACAACTGAATACAGTCCAATGAAAGTGAGAGAGAACTATTTACGACACAAAAGACATCGGACTTACTTCTTAATAATGCTTCCCTTCTGGCAATAATCTTGTCCTTCTTCGAAACATGTTTTAAGTTTTTCTTGAACAAACTTCCGACAACAGAAGGCTCACTGACAGTGCCTAGGGGTACATCCAGTGGTTGCGTTGAGGGGGGTAATAGCGTTTGTTTAAGATCAGCGAATGATATGGTGATTCCAGCAAAAATGTTGGAATCTGTACTAAGTTTCACAGGCAGTTCAGCTTGTCCAGGCACTGACTGGACAACAGGAACCACTGGAGTGTCGTTGCTTTCTGCTGCTGCCGCCTTTTGGCAAGCCAAGTGGTACTTCTTGCGCAGTTTTCTCACTTTGCCCATTTTGGATTAACTCAGACAGCGTTTCAAATCCTAATTTCGTGTTGAATCAATAACTTTTACCAATCTTGACAAATTATAACCTCAAACACATGTGATGCGAATCAAAACAATGAACCATCGTGCCCATATTCGCAGTACGAAACTGAATGTGGTAACGATCTGCCAATAATTGTTTAACCCGCGAAAGGGGAGGGAGACATCCGCGGGAAGATTTGAGAGTGACGGAGAGAAGGGAAAACAAACACAGTACTTCAGGCATTCCTTCCATAAGGTTTTATTGGTATTGGTACAAATCGGGTATCACAATCAAAACTCTGTTTACTTACTTAATAAAATAAAAAAAAATAAGGGGGAACATCTTATCACTTTAAAATGAACACATGTCCAAGTGTCTTTTTTCTTCTGAAAACAAAACAGGCAAAATCGATAATTTATAAAATAAAAAGAACGGAGAAACAAATTTAAGAAATTCTATTGCTCGCAAATGAGGTAGAGCTCAAGAAAATATGTGCAAACATTTCAAAAAACTTTCACACTTACATCAAACTAGTTTCTTGAATCTCACAGTGGTAACATTTTTTTTTTTAAATTTAATTGGGAGGGGTCAGTTAATGAAAGAGCTTATGATGCCTCTCAGATGATCAAAACTATTTTGTGGGGGCACTTGGGAAGAAGCCAATAGGTTGTGAGGGATCCGGAGAGATAGATTTGAAAGTTTGTATTTGAAAATCTAATGGCCTCTCAGCAAGAACATCTACACTTGGCACACATATAGCAGCATGCCTACGAATGATATCACACCATAATGATGGATTATCCTCTTTCTGATAGAAGTAGGACCCCCAGGTATTAGACGATAAGACATCAATGTATTCCTTTGCGTCACCAACCCCTTCTGCTCGCATCTCGTCACTAATGGCAACAGCATCACAGCGAGTAAATTCATCCGGAGCAAATACATCCTGAAGAACATTGTCACCCACATACACACACTTTGGGAATTTCTTGTTAGTCTCTTTTTTGAAGAGCTCATATAAGTCTTGCCAATTACCCTGAGAATACATTTTTCCTAATTGAACATCTTCAGGCTGGACAATGTCACTCTCTTTCCCATCGACTAAAGAGATGAAAGGTCGCCGTCCAGTAAAGAAACCAGGTTTACGGGCAAAAAAAACAACAACATCAAAAAGATCCTTCCAGTCTTCACCAAAACAATATTTAGCGGTAAATGAAGCAAAGTCTTCGTTTGAACCAGTTACCAGAAATACTTTTTTATCACTTTTTAATTTTTCTAGCCACTTACGAACATTACTACTGCAACGGTGCAAATATTTATCAGGATTTTCTTTTAGAGCAGAGAAGAAACCACCTGTATTGTTGGCAAAATTGTCTCTTTGATACATATTAATGAGTCCGTCTGTAATATCATTGTACAAATTGTAGTCCGCTGGAGGGTTTTCAGATTTTGCATCAATGTTGTCAACACACCGAGCGAAAGCAAGAGCTGCAGATACATCAAAATGATCCATAACAGATCGTATCTTTTCAGATATTGGACCATTCCAAGCGTCCAACATATTCTGCGTGTACTCCTGAGCCAGCGGATACACTTTATCCTTTCCGTAGATTTCTTCAATGTCAGCGTCCAGCAGCAACTTGGTGCCATGACAAGCTCGGTGAATAGAGCCATCGGGCGAAAGCTGCAGCACATTTCCCTTCTCATAATCCATCGTCAAGCCTTTCTGCAGGAAATCCAAATTCAAAGGCTTGAGCAGGTGACAGGGATCATAACCTTTCTGTTCGACAAGGAACCGGGCGAGCAGCTCGTAGCTGAGCTTGACCATGTTCGCAATGTTGTACTTGAGCAGGGTGTTGTCCAGGTCGAATCCGACGCAGTCATAGTCCTTGAGGCAGAAATAAGGGCTCGCTGAGGGGCCCATGGCACTGGAAGTAAGGGTGGCGTCAACGCTGAAGTGCGAGCGAGAGTGACACGGAGACGGAGACCACTGGGAGGAATGCGACGTTGGTGACGTGATCGTCGGGACCGCCCGAAGGACACGCAGCGAGTGCGAATGGGGGCACGAGCACAGACACAACGGCCTGGCCCCGGAGTAGAGCCGGCGAATGAGCATGTCCTTGACCGAGTGCCGCCACCGCGGCCCTGGCTCTGCTGCTGGGCAAGCTGCACCAGACCGAGGTGTTGACCGTTCCCGTTCAGCGCCAGCAGCAGCCTCAGGGCTCGGACGACGGCCAGCAGCTGACAGCCAAGGCTTTGGCGTCGCTGGCGTAAACACGCCTCCCCCGCCGCCGCCCCTCTCCGCCCCGCGGGCACCTGCAGACGACGAGACAGACGGACAGACAGACGAACGACGAGGCGAGTAACCGCCAAACTCCGCCTCCGCCCGCTGGCGCTGCTGGCGCTGCTGGCGCTGCTGGCGCTATCAGCTGTCCGGGGAGGCGTCCGAAAGGGAAGGGCGCGTCGACCGGCGGCGACCCTCGGCCCAAGCGGGACCAAGCACGCGACCAGCCCCGTACTAAGAAGAGATCTCACTTAACAGAAAGGAAAAAAGAATCTGACAGAAAAATAAACACTCTCAAGCAAACACACAGAATGAAGAAGAAAATACGGAGACAGCGCACTGGCGGAGCAGCACAGCAATCGTCCGCCACCATGTCTCCATGCCGGCACGTTCGTTCGAAGCGAAATGTGTGGTACAGAAAATGAATGTAGTGTGTTTACTTTTGGTCCGCCAACATTATTTGAGGAGTGGACCAAGTTTGCATGTACCCCCTCCCCCTTTTCCATTGCGGCAGGGGGATGGGGGGAAGACCCCTCGGTGCTGAGTAAACGGAAAGGGTGGGGGGTCAGAGTCCGAAGGTCCGAATGAAGAGTTATACCAGTAGTACATACTTCGAGAATGAAGCAAAGAAAATATTTCAGGCATCAGTTATTTTACTAACGCCAGGCTATTGCTTTCGTGCACTCAAATATGACTTTCATGGTCGATGTGAGAACAAGTGGAGTACAAGCCAATTGCTTTCAGCAGCTAAGTTTCTTGATAAGAGCGAAGGGGAGGCACTGTACTAACTGCTGGCCCCAAGATTTGATATTTTTTGGCTTCAGACACTATGAAACAACGAGTCATAATGTAGGCTAATAAAACAGGGTCCTCTGGCTGTCGTACTTTCGTGTCGTTCTTCGCGTCGTCTTCGCCGGCGCCGTTCACGAGAAGAGGACCGCCAAAGGTTTGCTCTGCTGGGATGAACCATCCAGGGGCTTGCGCACACAGCGCAAGTAAAATTTTCCAGTCGATTATTTGAGGATCGCAAGCCGCGCGAGGGAAACTGGGAAGCGAAGAGCATGGGGTGTTTGCACAACCTGCCAACAGACGAACGACGATCAACAAGTGTGCGGAGTGAGCGCGGCTTCCAAGATAAGGATCGCCAAGCGTTGAACGAGGCGCGAATCACACGAGAAAAGTCCGCCGAGCGAGAAAGAAGTGAGTTGTTGGCGGTGTCTGCGGCCGGGGGCGCGAGTTTCGAGCCTCGTGTAGCGCGTGGCGCGGCAGCGCGGCAGCGAGGTGGTGGTAACCGTGGTAACCCCCGCGGGGCATTCCCATCACGCCGCCGCGTAAGTGCACTTGATGGTGGCGCGGACGGGGTGCGTACCTCGTACCTCATGGCGGGGCGCGGCGGGGCGTGGTGGGGTCGTTGTGCGGTGCGCGGGGTCGCTGCGAGGGCGCCGGGCCGCGCGCCCTCGGCCCCAGTTTTTCCGCTTCGGGCTTCAGATCCACTTCTCCTCGCGCCGCACGCGCTTGATGCGTTCGTACGACTCCGGCTCGCTCAGCTTTCTCGCCATGCGGATGATCTTGGCCGACTCAGACTTGATCGAGTCCCGCGTCGGCACCTTGGCGTCGCCGATGGCCTCGGCGGAGTCCAGCATGAGCACTGCCACAGACACGCCGGCGTCGGACAACAGAGTCCTAACAGTGTGCTGTCTCTCTCGCACCTGGCACGGCCCGCAAGTGCGAGAGAGACAGCAATAAGCCTCCGCTGCAGCGCTACAGCCGCCTGTCTAGATTTGCCGCGTCGCTACCCCACGCTCGAGAGACAGACGGCGCGGGGTATCGCCGGCGCGGCCGGCCGACGCAGACAAGAGTGCAGAGCGCCTGGGGCGTAGGCATCGCGCACGCAGCCATGTCGGCAGACTGCCTACCGCCACGGCGCGAGGCCGCTCTCTCTCGCACTCAGTGGACGTCCCGTGGGGGTGACCTGCGCGGGGCCTCACCGCCGATCTCCTCCGTGGTCTGGTCGACGCGCTCCGGCTTGGCGGCCAGGACGTCCGGCAGCAGGGCGCGCGACACCGGCACCTCGCCGTCGGGGGCCTCCAGCTTGCCGTCCATCTGCTTCAGCAGCACGCCCACCTTGATGAAGATGCTCTTGAGCATGGCCATCGCTGCGGACACGAGAGCCACGCTATTGGAAGTCAACGAGGCGCACCCTTTCTCAAGTGTCCTGGACAACAGACTGTCTCTCTCGCACACAGACGGAACAAGGCGCGTACCGTTGGCTTCGGGCGCGGCCACGGGGCCCTTCTTCCGAGCGTAGAGGTCATCCACGAACTCCTGATCCAGCTCCCAGTCGTACTTCTGCGGCAGGGTCTTCACCATGCCCTGGGTGGGCTTCACCTGGCGGGGAACGAGAAGGAGGGCGGGGTGTCACGCCACTGGGCGACACAAGCAAAGCGAACCCAGGACGCAGAAACAAACAAACAAACAAATTCACAGTGTGACGATAGTTCCGACGACCTGGGTTGTAAAATAACAGACAATAAAACAGCCCCTGGCGGTGATCGAACCCGCGACCTTCTGTTCTGCCATTCCGCGCGAACTGCGGCGGGACTGCCGCCTGGGACGTCGGGCCGTTACCTGGTTGAGGACGAGCACGATGCCGAAGAGCGCCGTGCGCACCGTCACCATGTACGTGCACAGCTTCTGCTTGGCGTCCAGGGCGTCCCGGCGGCGCGCCTCCTCGGCCGCCATCTTGACGCGCAGCTCGGCCTCCTCCAGCTCGGCCCTGCAGGACATCAATCACGGGGTGAGCCTTGAGGGCGTCCGGGGCGGCACGCAGTGGGCCAGAAGACCGGTGGAGGCGGCCGAAACCCTAGACGCGCTTTGAGCTCAAGAGTCGCTAGGACTCGAACCGAGCGTGTGACCCCATCAATGGATGCCCCGTTCGGAGGGCAGTTCATTGGTGGGGTCACACGTTCAGTTTGAGTCCCATTTAGCGACTCTGGAGCTCAAAGCGCGTCTAGACTTTCGGCCGCCTCCACCGGTTTTCTGGCCCATTGTGCAGCAGCAGCTGAGGCTGCCGTTCTGCCCGCCCCGGTGTGACGGCCGGCGTGACGGCCCGCGTGACGGCCGGCGTGACGAGCAGCTTGAAGGGGCGCGTGACGACCGGCCGGTCACGTCGCGTCCGTGCAGTGCGCCGGACCGCTCTGCTGCCCCTGCTGCCCCTCCTCGTCGAGGTCGTAGTCCCGTTGCGTGGCTAGCGTGGCTAGCACACGCGTTAGCCGAGACTCTGAGGGGACGTCTAAGCGACCGCGGGGAAATAGATTGTCCCCAGCTTATTGTCTCCGGCGAGCGGGGAGCGGGGGTTCGACGGTTCGACTCCCGGCCGCGGCGCGCGGGCGGCGTTGACACCCATGAAGCATGCAGCGTGTTCGCGCTCAGCTGACGCTTACAGTGCCGAAGCGAAGGCCACGCGGGGGGAAGGGAACAATTTGTTTTCACGACGCGGCCTAGTCCGACGAGCCGACGACTCACTGCTGCTCGGTCTCGCTCATGTTGCTCTTGAGGTCGTGCAGGATGAACTGCGCGTGGTTGCGGCGCTGCAGCACCTCGTCGCGCCGCAGCTCGCGCCGCTCCACCTGCTTCAGGAGCCGGATCCGCTGCCGCAGCTGCGCCTCGAACCTGCAGGCATGCCGGCCCGTTCATCCCCAACGCCGGCACTGGCGGGGCGGCGCGCAGTGGGCCGGAAGGCCGGTGGAGGCGGCCGAAAGCCTAGACGCGTTTTGAGCTCCAGAGTCGCTAAATGTGACTCGAACCGAGCGTGTGACCCCACCAATGGACTGCTCGCCGAACGAGGGATCCATTGGTGGGGTCACACGCTCGGCTCGAGCCCCGTTCAGCGGCTCTGGAGCTCAAATCGAGTCAGTTTCGACCGCCTCCACCGGTCTTCCGGCCCACTGTGCGGCGGCGGCGCGGCACTACCTGGGGAACACGTCCATGTACGAGGACACCAGTGTGGTGGCCTGCAGGCGCTGCATCAGCCCCTCCATGTGGTCCAGGTCCTTGAGCAGCGCCACGGTGTCCGCGTCCTCCTTGGCGGGCAGCAGCGCCACGCGCAGGTCGGTGGTGCTCTGCGCCAATGGGCCAATGCCTTTTTTTCCGGTGTCAAGACGGCAGTGCGGCAGGCAGGGTTGGCGTGGTCGGCTGGCCGCCCTGGCTGGCCGGTCGGGCCGCGGCACTGGGCCTTATTTATGACCCGTTCGATTCCATCCGGGCAAAAAGCCGCCGTGTCCTGCGAAGCGGCGAAGCCTGTGACGTGACCAGACCAGCCCGGCACTGCCCAACACCTCACACGCGGTGCGTGGTGGTAGTGGTTCGCGGTCCACCCACCCCACCCCACCCCTCCCCTGCTGTCGCGTGTTGGCGTTCCACACGTGTCCGCCTCGCAGTGCCCCGGACACTCCCGCACTACTAGTTCCGGCTCGGTTCCCCCATGCCAGAGTCTGGCGGAAGGGGAGTCAGAGAGAGCGAATTCTCGAACAGGCCCATGTCGCCCCACCGCGCCCACGCCCCGCGTGGAGGAAAAGTGGTCCTAACCACCCAACTCTGCCGGACTCTGGCGGCGGGGCGGGGCGGGGCGGGGCGGGGCGGGCGTGACAGCACCGTTGGAGGCTGGCGCCAAACTCTGCGGGAATCGAGCGCCGCCACGTGGATGACATAGGCTGTGCGGCGTGTGCACCCCCAGCCCCGGCGGCCCCGACCGGCACTCCGGAAAATGGCGATCGACTCCGGACGCTTCCAAGCAAAAAAAAAAGGCCCCATAAAAATACTTTTTTCTAAACAAGTTCTAGACTCTTCCAGTCGAAAAAAATTGAGATGCTGGTATTTGATGCTGGTATGCTGGAGTCCCGTCTGATTGGTCGGTAGTCTGCACTCACACCCCGTTGGCGCCGTTGGCAGCGAGGCGAGGAGCCCTGCCCTCCTTTCGTCCTCTCGGCCTTGTTCTACTCCGACAAGTCGCTGCCGCAGTCTTGGTGGCCGAGGCCGTGACGACCTTGACGTGCCGCCCCGCCCTG